CTCACCTCAGCCTCCCAAAGGCGCGGGATTACAGGCTGAGCCACCGAGCCCGGCTCTCGTATACTCTTATGAGAGTAAAATAATGGCCTTTCTTCTACCAAATGTTAAAATAATCTGAAAGGAGAGGAAATAGTGCCCGGGAAAGACAAAGAGTTTGTTCCTCTTCTGTTTTGGGAAATTCTGGGGGGACGTAAAGACCTGATCATCCAAGCTGAAAGTAAAGAGTTATCAACATTATGAATCATACGACGTCCTTTTACTTACATTCCTGTTATTTTCTTCACTCACCATAACAGGTATGCAGGATTTATTTTTTGCCTTGTTGATTTTTATTATGCACCATCTAACATGTCGTAAAGTGTAAGCCAGCCTCATCTGGTAGAGGTGTCCATGATGATAGAAATGTCCAATATCTAAGTTGTCTAGTTTGGCAGCCACCAGTCGTGTGGCCATTGAGCATTTGATATGTGGCTAGTGGGACAGCAGAACTGAATTTTAAATTTTATTTAATTTTAATGAATTTAAATAACTGCATGTAGCTGTGGCTACAATGGTGGACAGCACAGGTATAGAGAGCAATACACAACTATAGCACCTGATTTCAACCACCCTCAACATTTGGCCACATTTCCTTCAGATTCTCCTCCTCCTCTTCTTCCATCCTTCCCTCTGTCTCTTTCTCTCTCTGTCTCTTACACCACACCTGACTAAATTTTTGATTTTTTTATAGAGACGAGTTCTCACTATCTTTCCCAGGCTGGTCTCAAACACTTGGACTCAAGCAGTCCTCCTGCCTCATTCTCCCAAAGTGTGGGATTATAGGCATGAGCTATCGCGCCCAGCCTATATGTGTCTGTCTTCATGCCAGTACCTTGCTGTTCTGGTTACTATCGCTTTATAGTATATTTTGAAGTCAAGTAGTTGTCCTTGACATGTGTGTCTCTAACCTTTGTTCTTTAGGGATGGACCCTATAGAGGTGCCTCTTGATGAAAACAGTGAGCAGGCTCAGATTTGCCAAAGCAAAGTCTGTGCTGACAGGTGAGACTCTGAAGCAGGTGGAAATTTTGGCTCTGTTGCAGAATGGCACAGAGGGGAAGGAGAGTACTGCCCTGAGCCATCTGTCCACCACTGCCCCCTTGTCCAGTTTGCTTCCACTTACTTCCTCTCACACTCTGCTCTAACCACACTGAACTGTTGGTATTTTTCAAACCTCTTTTCTTAAGTCTTTGCACTTGCTGATCCCTTCGATAGTTCTTCCCACACAGGGCTCGTTCTCTTGGCTCAATAGTCTCCCTTCTGACAGTTTTACCTCTCTTCTCGTAAGCCCCCTCCTTCGATGGCCGCCTGACCACCTGCCTTCTCATTTCTTCTACTGGATTCCTCTCCTTCCCATTTATTGCTCCCAAAGTGTTATCTGTTCATTCATTTCTCTCTAGTCCCTGCCCCTGGAATGTGTGTGTTCCTCCCCGCAAAGTCTGGGCAGTGCTGGGTGCTGAGTGTGGGTGGGAAGGGAGGGTGAGGAGGGGGAACAGTCCGGAGGCCGCAGCAACAGTCCAGAGGCCACTCGGCTGGGAGGGAGAGACCTTATCCATGTTTTGAAAAGCCTGATTGTTGGGTGTTGGGTGTTAGGTGGTTGAAAGGGGTCAGGGGTCAAGTAGGAAGGTTAGCAAAGCACCTGTGTTAGCACCACGGGTGGGACAAAGTGGAGCCTTGGACCAGGGCCAGAGAGAAAATCAGGTGGGTGTCTGATATAGATTCCAGGAACAGAATCACCTGAACTAACCGATGGGATGGGTGAAAAGGCTGAGGGTGAGGGGGATCAAGATGTCCCTTAGGTTTCCAAAGTGTCACTTGCAGGCAGCAACTTATAAATTATGTACCATCCTGGAGGCCCAGGAGTTGAGCACACGCTGTGTCTTCCCACTGGGACTTGTACCAGTTCTGCCCATTTCAACATTCACTGTAGCACATTTTTAATTAAGGGCAATGGATTTGGGGTGAACAAAATTCTAGGGGATTCCAGAATTTTCAAACACCAGGTCAACAAATGCAGTATTTATATCTGTAACTTACAGGCATAGTGTAAGTTACAGATATAACCTACATATAACTATTAGTATACATAGTTATTAATTAATATTATCTATCTCTCTCTCTATCTAATGGGAACTTTGCTTGTGTATACAGTGTTCACTTTATAGACCAAATACGTCAGTCCACGTGACCTGGCTGTGAGAGGAAATATTTCCATCAGCCCATAGTGAAATGCTGGGGCACACTTCTGGGTTCAAGTGCTTCTAAAAGCAAAACGCCACTCTGGAAGATCTCGCGTTTTAAGCTTTGGGGTTCTCAGTGCTAATCATTAATAGAAAAAGGTCCTTTAGGAGAATTGTCTAAGGCTTTTTAATTGGATGGGAAACTTCCCACAAGCATCAGCTTACAGGTCTGCCCACACCTTGGAAATCTGCCAAACTTCCTGAGCACACTTGCCGTTATAGTCTGCCTTCTCCCAGGGCTCATGAAATGTTTCATTTTAATTTATTTTTATTTTGTAATCTAACTTTTTGCAGTTTATATTATTATTTAAAGAAATACTATATAACAGTTTATCAGTTCATCCTCTTTTTTTTTTTTGGACAGGGTAAAAACTTATAATTGTGGAGAAAAAATTTCAAGTTGGTTGTCAAAGTTTTTTGGCCGTCCCTGCCATCTGATCAAACAAAACTCCAACTTTCCAAGAAATGCAAAGAAGAAACATGGAAAAGGTATTACATTTTGGATTGGTTCTTTGAGTACAGAAACCCTGGCTTATCCTCGCACACATCAAAAGCAACTCATGAATTGGGCATGGTAGTAATCCCAGCACTTTGGGAGGCTGAGGCAGGACTGGTTGAACCCAGAAGTTTGAGGCCAGTCTGGGCAACATAGCAAGTCCTCATCTCTACAAAAAAATAAAAATTGGCCAGGCAAGGTGGCATGCACCTGTAGTCTCAGTTACTCAGGTGGCTGAGGTGGAAGGATCGCCTGAGTCCAGGATGTCAAGGCTGTGGTGAGCTGTGATCGTACCACTGCACTCCAGCCTGGGTGACAGAACGAGACCCTGCCTCAAAACAAACAAATAAATAAAAACATCTATGAAATGGACTAATGGAGCACCTTGCTTATGTATAGAAAGTGGGGATGGTCAGCCTTTGGCAGAAAGCTGTGGCGGTGGCCCCGAGTCAGCAGCACCTGTGGGCTCCAGTATCCCCTTAGGACACTTAACTTCACTTGATCATTCAGCCTCAGTCCTTTATATTTGGAAGCACAGTTAATTCTGTTTTATTAAATAAAACATTAATAGCTTGCTATGTTTTCAGCTCAAATCTGGAAGCAAAGAGGTTCTAGTTTTTAGCTCTGTCATCAAATAGTGGTGTGATCTTGGCAGATCCTTGAACCCCATGGTACCTCAATTTCTATAGATCTCAGCCACTTAGACTTTTAAAAGTTTTGACATTTTTTTTCCTGCCATAAGCTGTTGTCAGGGCAAAAGGGGCTGTGGAGAAGAAGGTTCTTTGAAAGTTAATAGTCTCATTTGTTGCCAAAGGATGCCAAACTTGGTAAAATATTTAAGATGGTTTATTCTGAGTCAAATGTGAGTGACCTTAGGCCTGTGGCACCCATTCCCAGGAAGTCCTAAGCATGTGTACCTGCCACGTAGCTCAGTTATATACATTTTAGGAGGACAGAAGTTACAAGAAATGATCTGTGGAACACAACTGCTTTCTCTCGCCACCAGTAGGAGTTGAGAGGCAGGGAACTGGGAAGAAAGACATTTATTTCTGATTTTGGAATTCAAGAAGTCAGAACTTAGCTCCTCTAAGTCTGCTCAGTTCCTTGGATTTTATAGCCCATGTTTATTTTAGTTTACTTTTTTTTTGAGTTGGAGTCTCACTCTGTCACCTAGGCTGGAAGTCAGTGGCACACTCACAGCCACTGCAGCCTTGACCTGCTGGGCTCAGATGATCCTTCCACTTCAGCCTTCCAAGTAGGTGGAACTACAGGCGCATGCCACCATGCCCAGCTATTTTTAAAATTTACTGTAGAGACTATGTCTTGCCACGTTGCCCAGGCTGGTCTTGAACTCGTGGGCTCAGGCAATCCTCTCGCCTCCATCTCCCAAGATGCTGGGATTATAGGTGTGAGCCACTGTGCCTGGCTCAGTCCATGTTTATAAGCACAAATGTTGAGGCTTGCTATGGATGAACATCACACTACGACATTTCAGAATGTTCCCATGACGTCTGCATCCTGTTACTCTGAGGTTCATTGCCTACACATTTCTGTATCACTCCGAACTTCATGCCTTTGTTATTAAAGACAAAGGAATGCTTTCCAGAGTTTAGTAACTTTTTAACAGGTTTCACAGAGTACATGGGAAAGAGCAGGTTAGCTTCTTTACCATTGTAAAAAACTATGAATCGCTGAAAACAAAATTAGCACTAAAATAGGTGTTGCCTTAATGCAAGCAAATCAGGCCTAAGATTATGCCGTTAATGATTACCTTTGGGTTTAGCAGGAAGCTAGATTTATATTGTAAGGAACCAAAGCTACTAATTCATGATTACATGAACATTGTAAAGGTTACAAATCATCCATCTAATTTTAACTAACCGATATTTGTTGTGCCTCTCAGAAATTCCTACAGACTCTGTGGACAATCTTTCCCGAGCTGGATGCCTGTCATCCATTAGACTAGCAAAGGGTTTGGACTGGGGTCTTCCTTATCATTAACTATAAATCGATACATGTGAGATTTACATTGGTTCGATCCAGGAAGGTAGGGTACCTCTAAGCAGGGGCTGGCAGGTTATAGGTGAATTCAAAATGTCCTGACAGTGAGCTGGAGTTACCTAAGGGATTTTGAAAGCAGTAAAGGAAGTGAGGAGCTTGAGGAAGCTCAAGGAGCTCAGGAAGTCAAGGTTTTTCATATATAGATGACTTCAGAGAGCATAGGTAAGTGTCTTAAAAGTTGCCCCGACTCAGGGAGTCCCCACAAGACCCTTTACGGGGTCATAAAATACTCTGATTTTCCTTCTTTATTTGCTAAGTGAAGCTACCATAGAGCCAGGCTGGAAAGTAAATCACATTTGGTAGTTAATACAGAGCCTTTCCCTCCAGGCCTCTGAGTTAGGGATTTGACAAGGTGCAGAAAAAAGGTCAAAGCTGAGTCCTCACAGATGTGCAAAAAAGATAATTTTCCTAGTACTGCTCAGATGTCACCTTCCCAGTGAAGCCTGGCCTGCATAATCTTTTTAGAACTGCAGCCCGTACCTGAACCTCTTTAGCAGCCTTCCCTGTTTTCTTCCTTCCTTCCTTTCTTTCTTTTCCTTTTCCTTTTTCTTTTCTTTTCTTTCTTTCCTTCCTTCCTTCCTTCCTTCCTTCCTTCCTTCCTTCCTTCCTTCCTTCCTTCCTTCCTTCCTTTCTTTCCCTTTCTTTTCTTTCTCTCTCCCTCTCTCTCTCTCTCTTTCTCTCCTCTCTCTCTCTCTCTTTTGAGTCAGAGTCTCACTCTGTCACCCAGGCTGGAGTGCAGTGGCACACTCCCAGCCACTGCAGCCTTGACCTGCTGGGTTCAGGAGATCTTTCTGCCTCAGTCTCCCAAGTAGCTGGAACCACAGGCGTGTGCCACCACATCCAGCTAACTTTTTAAAAATATATTTATTGTAGAGTTGAGGCCTCGCCAAGTTGTCCAGGGTAGTCTTGAACTCCTAGACTCGAAATCCTTTCGCCTCCGCCTCCTAAAATGCTAGGATCACAGGAGTGAGCCACTGTGCCCAGCTCCTATTTTATTTTTCTCTGTAGCTCTTTTCACATCCTTCCGACTACATATTTTACTCATTGATCTCATGTCCTGTGTTCTCTCTGCTAGGATATAAGCTTCATGAGGACGAGGATTGTTGTCTGTTTTCCTCAGTCCTGTCTCCCCATACTTTGAATAGCTCCTGGCACATAGTATTTACTCAATCAATGCTAGATGAATTAATGAATGGACTGTTGTTACGTTACTAGTTTGTTCAGGGATGACCTGGCCTAGAGATCAGCTCCAAGGAAACTGGTTTGTAAATCTGATAGCATTCCCATATGGTCAACATGCTACTCACATTTAAAAGTCAGTCTATTCATTCACCTAGCATTTTATTTCTTTTCTTTCCCTCCTTCAAGTTGTATTTCTTTTCTACTTCCTCAAAAGAATTTTATCTTAATGCTATATATTTTTTGCTTGGAAATCTTTCACTGATTACCCTATCATATTTCTATGAAATTAAAGTGTGTGTGTAAATTGAAATGTATACAGTTTTTTAAAAGTTTACTGTGGTTGTAAGACTCTAAGTGCTAGGAAATTTCTTCTGGATTGAATTCTTATCATAATTTTTACTAGTACACATTTGATCAATGCAATATAAGTGTGTTATACAATTTGGAAAAATGATTAAACATGAGAAAAGATTGCTGAAAATGAATCTCTTAATGAAATGGCAGGCCTGCCCGCCATGGGTCCCCATACCCATGAGTGAATGTCACTTAAAGCCAGAAGAGCGGGTGCTTGGCCTCGGGTTTCTTCTGAGACCCTTTCAGTCAACAAAGAGCTGGGGAAGAAAGGAGTTTGGCTGACACACTGTCACTCAGACCTTTCTTCTGAGGTCCGTGACCAAAGCACTGGGATCAGGATTAAAATGCCTTTTATCATGTGGCACTAGACAACTTAATTAGGCTCTGCAGTTTGGTAGAGAGCAAAGGATCGGTGTCCATTGGGCCTGGGAGATCACTCACCCAAGCTTTGGAGACTTTTATTTTCTCAGCACAGACCCCGGGGTTTTGAATGGGGCTTTTGTTTGCCAAGGTGGAAATGTGTAGCCCCCAGGGACCATGTGCCTTGGGAGACCTGTGGCCTTTCCTCTGAGAAGTGGGAGTAGGGTCTCTGTGGAGGGGCTGGGATCATGTGTCCCTTCTCTGGCCGGGCTATTTTAACAAAGAAGACATAGCGAAGTGAAGAATCTGGAAGGCGGCTCTTTTAGAAGTCTATGTTTCCATGTACTCCAGGTCTGCAGACCTGGTCAGAGCTCACTAGGCCCTGGCAGACCTTTTCATCAGCATCTTGAATAGTGTCAGTGTTGGTGGGCCCACTACAGGGAGACAGAAGCTGGTGATGGGCCACCAGCTGTTCTGAACACACCTGATGTTTTCTTTCAGTTGGTTTTTTCCCTTTGAGTAGTTTTGTTTTGTTTTGTTTTTTGAGTTGAGGTCTTATTTCGTCACCCAGGCTGGATTTTAGTGGCTTGATCACAGCTCACTGCAGCCTTGACCTCCTGAGCTTAGGCAATCCTTCCAATTCGGCCTCATGGGTAGCTGGGACTACAGGTATGTGCCACCATGCTTGGCTAATTGTCTGGCTAATTTTTTTGCGCATATGTGTTTTTGTTTTTGTTTTGGTAGAGATGGGGTCTTGCTATGTTGCTCAGGTTGGTCTTAAACTTCTGGGCTCACACAATCCTCCTGTCTCAGTCTTCCAAAGTGCTGATATTACAGGTGTGAGCCATCATGCCTGGCCCCTTTCAGTAGTTTTTGATTGTCTATTATTTCTTTCTAAAGTCAGTGTCTTGCACTTGTGCAAGAGCAAATAGCTGTTACCTGATTCGATTCAGAAGATCTGGGACCTATGGCCCTCACCAAGGCCCTCTGCCCTGCCCTGTTCTGGGAAATATTTCCCCTCATCTCTCCCAGCCCATCTCTCTTCCTCTAAATCTTGTTTCAAAGGCTTCTTTGGTGGAACAATTTCACCTCAGCATTTTCTTATTATTTTTTCCCAGATTATCTTAAACAGAGTATCTAGGAGCTCATTTTTTCCCCTTGTTTGTGAGAGGTTTGAGCCACGTGTAGAACATTCTTATTATTGCCAGGGTACTCATTTATTTTTTCCTTGTAGAAACAATCTCTACCTTTAAAAGAATGCAAGTCCAGCCGGGCTCGGTGGCTCAGCCTGTAATCCCGCGCCTTTGGGAGGCTGAGGTGAGTGGATTGCCTGAGCCCACGGGTTCGAGACCCGCCTGGGCAGCAAGACCTCATCTTTACATAAATCAAAAAATCAGCCGGGCGTGGTAGCACATGCCTGTAATTCCGGCTACTCGGAAGGCTGAGGTGGAAGGATCACCGGAGCCCAGCAGGTCGAGGCTGTGGTGGCCGGGAGCGGCCACTGCACTCCAGTCTGGGCGACAGAGTGAGACTCCAACTCAAAAAAAAAAAAAAAAAAAAAAAAGAATGCAAGTCCATGGAAACATGATTCATTTGTATTCCAAGAAAGCAACTTTCTTCTGAATGTTCCATCCTTTCCAGATCAATCTCCTGTCATGACAGCCACCCTCTCCCTGGTAAATGAGGCGCAGTATCTGCTGATAAACACCTCAAGTGTTCTGGAACTTTACCAGCAATTAAACGCCAGGTAAGGCCTGTTCCCTCAGGAATGGCAGATGAGCATGACTGGTGGGCACCCATCTGGGGAAGAAGATTCAAGAGTGTGGAGACTGGCCCCCTTCGTTTACAGATGAGAACTGAAGCCTGAGAAGTTAGCAAGCCCTTTCAGCCAGCTCCCACTAATCCTTTTGAGGGGTCTCTTTTATCTTCCAATGATCCTTTTTGATGTTTTCAAGATGATTAGTGGAGAATTCCTAGCTCTTTCTCTCTCGCTCTTTTTTTTTTTTTTTTTAGTCAGGGTCTCATTCTGTCACCCAGGCTGGAGTGCAGTGGTATAATCACAGTTTACTGCAACCTCCTAGGCTCAGGCAATCCTCCTGCCTCAGCCTCCTGAATAGCTGGGACTACAGGCCTATGCCACCATGTTCAGCTAATTTTTTAATTTTTTTGTAGAGATGAGGTCTCTCTATGTAGCCCAGGTTGGTCTCAAACTCCTGGTCTCAAGCAATCCTCTGCCTCCACCTCTGCTTCCCAAAGTGCTGGGATTACAGGCTTGAACCACCATGCCTGGCTATCATTCTCTTTCTTTTCTTTTTTTTGAGTTGGGGTCTCATTCTGTCACCCAGGTTGGAGTGCAGTGGCACACTCATGGCCACCCCAGTGTTGACCGGCTGGGCTCCAGCGAGCCTTCTGCCTCAGCCTTCCAAGTAGCCAGAACTACAGGCACGCACTATCACGCCCGGCTAATTATTTCTTGTCAAGTTGCCCAGGCTGCTCAGGCAATCCTCTCACCTTGGCCTCCCAAAGTGCTGGAATTACAGGCTGAGCCACCAAGCCCGGCCTGTCTCTCCATTTCTTAACACTTGCTTTAACTGACTTGCCAACAACTTGATCCAATTTCATTGCCTATCCTCCTGTCATCTGCTGTCCCCTTCGGAACCCTGCCCTACTTCACACAGTCATTTTGGGGACTGAGAAACAAGAATTGTTAGGATAGCTTTTGAGTTCTAACTGCAGGCATGCTTTATTTGCGAAATGCACTGACAGAAGCGAGGCTCCTGGCCTGCTCACTCCCCCAGAGCTCTCCCAAGGGCAGAGTACCAGGAGGGCTCCAGAAAGGGTCATGCCTGGACCAACCCCCTCATTGTTCTTTGGAGCAGACTGAAGTTCCCAGGGAGTTGGGTGATGAGGGGAATCACCCAGCTGCCAAGCCAGATCGTGGCTGGGATGGGCTCCTCATTCTAGGTCCCCAGGCCAGGGCGAGGTGATCACCCCTGTGAAGAGTCACCCCATGACTCCCATGTGCCACGTGGCCGTGGGTGCACACGTGCACACTTGCAAACACGTGCAAATACAACTTAGTACAAATGACCAAGGGCCCCTTCTCTGCCTTTGTAGTCTGTTATTGGTAATTATTGGTTTAGTCATTGGTGAAAACACACAACAGCCTTCCCAGCTTGCTGTGCTTTGGAGCAGAAGCATGACGCAGCTGTGTGGCTCCTGGGAATTCATTGAGTTCTCCTGCCACCGAGGGTCCCTCCTCCTCAGATGCCCAGAGCCCTGGAGAGGGTGGGTCTCCTGTGGCATTCTAAGGTTCTTGGTGTGGAGAGATGGGAGGTGGGACAGGCTTCCTGCAACCCTGGTTCCTGCCAGGAGGAGCTGAGTTCTCCACCAGCTGGTTTTGAGCAGGGCTGACCTGCCAGGCAGACAGTCTAAGGTCAGAGGAACAGCCCCATGCCTAGAACAGGGCAAGGGTCCCTGGGGCCCCTGCTCAGGGTTTCTCTTGCTCTATTTGCAAATTTGAGGAACTCTGTCACACACATGCTGACCACAATAGCTTTTGGACATAAAACATCATCCCCTTTTACAAAGCACAGAGGGAGAGTTTAGAACCTGGAGATTAAATCCAGACTTGAAGGGTTTGAGGACTGGGACAGATGACGAAACCGCGGTCCTCAGAGTTGGTGGGAGCTGCATGCAGTTAGTGGCTCTGGTGGGCCTCTCCCTGAAGCGGGGACCCCCTCCCAGGGGAGGCCGTGATGTCTGTTTAGCAGATGGATGTCTCATGGGAGAGGTTTGTTCTGCCCGTCCAGGCCTCAGGCCAGAGTGGAGCTGGTGAAGCCAGGCATCTCGTGGCAGGCACATTTGGCTTACTCCAGCAGTGTGATGACCTTCCGCTCGCCCTGCACTCACCCTTTTTGGTGTGTCTTAAACAGTGATGAGAATGAATCATTCCCAATGAAAGATCTCATCTTGCGTTTTCGTGCCAATATTGTTACCAATGGAACAAGGGCCTTTGAAGAAGAGAAGTGGGATGAGGTTTCAATTGGTTCCCTGCATTTCCAGGTACGTTCTCGAAAGTTCTATTATCCATCCTCAAAGGTTGTCCATGAAGGTTGACCTCAACCTCAGAGTGGCAGGTGGGACTCCCTCCCTGTCCTCGTTTTCTTACCCACAAAATCGCTGCAGGAGAATATGTGACCTCGTTGTTTTGGGATACCCATGGGATGATCCATCCTTTACTCCCCAAGAAGGTGGCAGCAGTCATTTCACATGAGGAGTGGGGGTTGTGCCCCATTGGAGGGCTCAGCACTGCTTCTCTGCTGTTGTGATGTCTGGGCTTTGACATGTTTTCTTGGAACGCCTATGTCCATAAGAACGTCACCCTCCCGAAACTTGTTGGGCTTCCTGATAGTCTGGAGCTCATGGAGGGTGGCCTAGGAGCCAGGTGGGGCCTCTGTGCCCATTGCCAACCCCTTCTGTCTTTGCTGGTGACTAGGGAGGAGACTGTCAGAGGTAAAGGCACCAGGATGTCCTTTCTCTCCTGCGCTGGGCTCCTCAAACCTGTGGACCTCAACAATGTGAGAAAGAAAAACCTTGGGCTAAAAATCTGTCCTCGTCACATGGTTAACAAGGCCCTATGAGATCTGCCCTCTCTGCCTCTGTCATTGTGACCTTCTCTCTATTTCTAAGCAAGCCACCCTTCCTGCCCCGGAGGCTTTGCCCTTGCTGTCCCTTCTGCCTGGCATGTTGATCCAGGGTCTCAGCTCAGATGTTACCTCCTTGGAAAGGATGTCCCTGACCTGTCTGTCACACAGTCCTGCTCTGTAGGGTGCCTGCTTATTCCTTCAGTGCACCCAAGTGTGGGGACCAAATCTCTTTTTTTCCCTCTAGGGCCTAGAACAGCCCTGGTCCCGAGTCAGTGCTCAGCAAGTCACTGTCAAGGGAATAAAGGGACAGGAGAGATCAGGACTAGCTGGGGACAGGAGGATGGTTGCCCACAGAGAACATGCTCAGCTCTTCAGTGGGGGCTGAGGTTGTTTTTATAATACAGGTTGGGTATCTTAAATTCAAAATCTGAAATCCAAAATGCTCCCAAATCTAAATTTTTTTTTCTTTTGAGTTAGAGTCTTACTCTGTCACCCAGGCTGGAGTGCAAAGTTATGATTATGGCTACCACAACCTTAACCTGCTGGACTCAGGTGATCCTTCCACCTCAACCTTCCAAGTAGCTGGAACTAGCATGTGCCATCATGCCTGGCTAATTTTTTGATTTTATAGAGATGAGATCTTGCCAAGTTGCCCAGGTTTTCTTTGTACTGGTGTTTGTACTGTTGCCTCAAAAACAAAACAAAACAAAAAAAACCCCAAATCTGAGACACTCATGGTTCCAAGAGTCTGTATAAGGGATGCTCAACCTGCAGGTGTGTGATCAGCCACTGGTGTAAGCTGCCGATAACTGGCTACCTTGTATCCAGGCTCCGCACTCAGAAGGAACAGTAAATAATCATTTCAACATTTATTGAAGAATCTTCAAGGTCTAGGGTAGAGGAGTTGAATTGCACAGCACAATGCAATATCCCAATGATCTTTTTACCCACCTAACTCCTCAGGCATCCTCTGACACTGACAGCTGCTTCTCCTGGAGAAATGATCTCTTTTCTCTCCCATATTCTCTCCCAGAAGCCTGGCCCTGGCACCTGCCCTCTTGTCATTTCCTCATCTCTTCACCCTTACGTTTCTCTTCCTTATTTTCTGTGGCTGTGTCTCTGCCACATTTTATTTCTATATTTATTTATTTAGAGTCAGGATCTCACTCTGTCACCCAGGCTGGAGTGCAGTGGCACATTCGTGGCTCACTGCAGCCTCTAACTCCAGGGCTCAGGGGATCTTTCTGCCTCAGTCTCCCGTGTAGCTGTGACTACAGGTGCATGCCACCATGCCAGCCTAATTTTTTAATTTTTCTGTGGAGACAAGGTCTTGCTATGTTGCCCAGGCTGCTCTCAAACTCCTGTCCTCAAGTGATCCTCCTGCCTCAACCTTCCAAAGTGCTGGGATTGCAAGCATAAGCCACCATGCCTGGCCTTTCTGCCACATTTTAAAAACACCTGCTCTTACGTTTTCTATCTGGCACAAAGTGAACACTACATATAGATTATTGAATGGGCGGAAAGAAGGAAGGAGGAAAAAAGAACAGAGAGAAGCAGGGGAAGAGAGCTAGATTAGACTGAGATCAGGAGCAAAAACTTACCTGGCAACAGTAGCACCTGTGTTGCCCTAGGGACCCAGGGATGTAAATACAAGAAGGATTCTTTAAGGAGCCTTTCTGAGGTGACTTAGCATGCTTTGTTTTTTTTTAGGTCACCTTTCATAATAAACCACAACTACTAAAAGTTAATAGACATGCCCTTTGACCCAATTATTTCACTTGTAGAAATTCATCCCATTAAGAAACACTCATGCCGGGCTTGGTGGCTCAGCCTGTAATCCTGCGCTTTGGGAGGCTGAGGTGAGTGGATTGCCTAAGCCCGCG